TTAGCAGAGCTGAAGACGTTCCTTGGATATTACAGCTCCTCCAGACTTTGACAGGTGTTGTGGGGGCTAGACAGGACTAGCATGATTATCTTCACACTGTATATGATTTTTGGTATATAAAATATTAAATAACAAGTTACAGACATAGCTGATGTTTTTATGGGTGGGAAATGAATAACAACTGCTTTCAAGTCACCTGAGCACTGAAGATTTGTAAGTCTTTCTGTGAGTGGAACTGTTCTGTCCTGGAACTATTTCCAAATCTCAAAGACCTTTTCCATCTTAACTTTACAACCATACCAAGTGGCACGTCCTCATGTCGGATGGGAAGGTCATTTTAAGGTATGACATGAACACTGGTCAGTGCTGCTTCTCTAGCAGATTGCTTGTTTGTTTTAATTGCAGTGTACTCAATACAACTTTCAAGCAGATTGTTTTCTCCCTTCTGTGGTGTGAGCTCAGCATAAATAACAAGTAAGCTCTTGGTAGAGAGTGCTCCATTTTATTAAATGGAGTAATTCTTCCATTGTAAATACTTGACTCTTTAAATACTGGAAACTTTCCAAGAATTAGAGACTCGTTAAGGCAGGGATGTTACAAAGACCACCTTTAGCAGCTTACAGACAAGAAAAAAGATGTAGGACAAGCTAGAATCATACAGGCTATTCCCTTTGCATGCCTCCATGCTGTAGATTTCAGTAGAAGGATAATTTATTGTCATTAGTAAATAAGAGTCTAGAAGAATGGCATTTGCTCTTGCATTTTACTGGGAGCATTCAACTAAGATAAAGAGATGTTCAGAGTACTGTCAGCTTATCCAGCATTATGAGACTGGCGTAGGCAGCTCGCATGAAGCAAGAACACAATTCAATACAAATTTATTAGCCTATAAACCCATAGTTAATATATTACCTCTGGAAGCAAGCACTTCCAGGTGTTACTGTTTAGCCTGTATAGTTAGGATTCTGTCCTACTTTGAATGCAAAATGTTTTTTTATATTATTTAAATCCTGTACCAGAATTACTATGTGTATGTCAAACATTCAGTGTGGAGTTACAGCATGTTTTATTTCTGATCTCTTTTTTTTTAATTTCTTTTGCTCTGCCAGCTCTTGGCTTCTTTAGAGCAGATTTTCAGCTAATATTGAAGCATGCAATGATTAGGTGATACAGTCAATTATTTGTATAAGCATGGGAAAGGGTTAAAAAAAAAAAAAGTTCAATATAATCTAAATTCACTTAATGTAATCCATACCAGATTGGTTGTTTGGACTCTTTAAAGTTTAGTAAATTCATTGTAATTCTTTTTTTTTTTTTTTTGAAAAAACTTATTTGCCAGAAAGTTTCCTGAAGTAGGACAAAGGTATTTTCTTCCTTGCTGCTGTTCCTCTTCAGTCACACCAACACACACGAGTGACTGTAAACCAAGTAATCTGCAGTCATGAAGTCCTGGTACACGCACTATGAAATTAATGGTAGAAATGGTATCTTAACATCTGAAGTGATGAATCTTCAGCCTATCATCTCCTGTAGCTCAGAAAGCGCTTGTGTCCCTCAGCCACCTCATTTTTGTTTTGCTGCGTTGTTTTGGCTTCTCCAGTGTGTTAATGAATGACTCAGGGTATTGGAAAGCTTCACTTATCACACAGGAGATCGTTTCTGATCCTGATCTGTATTGTAACTTTCATGAATATTATACCACAAGTAGAATTAAATATGAAGGTTTATTTGGAGGAATTAGCTTCCTACATTGAAAAGCAATTTGGGTTCTTGATTAAATATGAGAACTGCTAGCTTCCTCACTGTATTCTCCAGAACATCATGCAATAAGGTTATTTCGCCATCTGCATGTATTCTTTTAGCACATTGCTAGAAGATTTTGATTTGCTGATTTGGAAAATAGGACTTTGCTGTGAAGAGTTACTGTAAACACATGAATGCCTCTCTCTGTACTGGAGCTTAGATTTCTTACTGAATGCTGACATGATCTGAAGTGAACATCAGTGGGAACCAGAATCACATGTGCTGCTGACAGCTTTGAAACAAAGCAAATGAAACCCACTTTATCAACTCTGTGTTCTTCAGATATTTTTTTTTTTTGTCCAGAGGATCTCTCTAATTGTTGAATGGAATTTGATAGCTGAGCAGTTGGCAAGGACAAACCAGAATAAATCAGTTTCAAATACTTGCTCTTTCTTGATCCTTGGAATAAAACCAGATGACAATAAAAGTTCTGATAATTTAATAAATATAGTGCTGAAATAGCAGCCTGTGTGACCTTGAAAACCAATGAAGGGGGAATTCCAATCTGATTGTGACAACACCATGTTCTTCAGGAATTCTAAATCTGAATGGAGTTATACCTTCATCTAAAAGCCCTATAGTTGTTTTTGACAACGTGGCTTCATTAGATTCTCTTAGGTAATCCTCACAGCATACATTGTACAGTAAGTTAACAGCTACTATTGAGAGTTCATTTACTCACAGAGCCGTGTGTGAGAGATTCTTTGGTCCAAATTGGTTTCCAATATACTGAATTAATTCCAAAATTCAATCTCATTCATTTCTACAGCATCCAGTAGTTAATGACAAGCCAAACTGATATCTAGAATTTCCAAAATGCAGAAGGTTGAAGTCACTGTTTTCTCCTCTTGCAGATCAACTTTCAGAAGCTCTTCAAGTTAGCCTTCAGAGAGCAAAAAGAACCTCAACTTCAAGAATGGTATTTTAATCGAGCAGAGGACAAGCTAGCATGTATGTGTCCATTGTGGCAGAGGATCTGCATTTCCTTATTTTCACATCACGTTGTAAATGTTGACGTAGAAGCAGCTTTCTTTGCCTTTTTGTTGATTCTTACTGGTGTGCTGTTCCAGGTTCGAAGGCTAAGCTAAAGGCTAAAAGCCTTCATGTGACCTGTAGTGGTGCAGCCACCTCATCATCAGTCTGAGTTCTCTTAGTAAGATTCCAAACACTGTGGTATCCTTCTTGAGATGGACAGTGAGTGAAGCCTAGATTTAGGAAAGACATTGGTGTTAGCAGCATGTGTTTCGAATTTGTTCTGTTGAGTTTCGTTTCAGCAGATACCTCAGTGGAACAGACCAAGATATTTGGGATGTGTGCTCTTTGCATGTGAGCATGACTAATTACACTGAGCCACCTCTTTAAGATTAAGCACAGTTGTGTTCTCTGATGATCCTGGCTGTGCTGAGGAAATGGCATTCTAGTCTCTCCAAACACATCTTGTGTTCCAATAGGCTCAAGGCTTTCTTTGAAGATTTTCTTTCATTCAGAAATTAGATTCAATGCAATGCATTCTAGCCTAGCTTTTCTCCCTACTGTTGTTTTCTTTTAGGATTACTGTTTGGTCATTGTTTAGTTTGGGCCATATTCAATTGCCCTTGTAATTAGTGTGGAGCTAATAACCGTGTACAGGCTAATCATCTCTGCTCTGATTTTCTGGGAGTGTTTTGACTCTTTCAGCTCCAACTGCCTTTTGTGGGGAGTTCTTGACATTTAGCACATCTGCAGCCAGTATATTTCAGTAATGAACAAGCTGTTAGTGTCGTAGCCATTGAATGATAGGATTATTCTGACTAAACCTGAGTGTCTATAATGTAAGAATCCTTATTCAAATGGGCCAACCCTAGGGTCTCTTCCTAGACAATGAAGTTGTACCATTATGTTGTGGAGTAAGAATGTAGCGTCTTTCATTTGAAAGGGGATGTCTGCATTTGGTCAGATGATTCGTGCCATAGGAAAAGTGGGAGGAGATTACCTATTGACTTTCATTAGACTTCTCCAATTTTCTTGAAGACCTGATTTAAGTATCTGTGCAGAACTGCCTTTGGGATTTATGTTCAGGTACATCAGAGGAAGTAGAAATTGACAGATATAAACAGAGCTTGAGGAACTCTCAGGTTGAAGTCAGGAGGAGTACCTTTAAAATGTAATGGCTTAAGTGCATGTGACAAAATTTACATTCATGCACTGCTTCTTAAAACCTTAAACTATATGGGAATATTCATATTGCCACTACAGCAAGCTAAGAAATCATCTGCTCATGAGGTCAGCATTTTGAAGACTGTCAGTAATCATTCTTTCCTTCTGCCTTTGTAAATGAGGCTGTACTTCTTACTTCCTGCAGTTCTTGGAAGCAGGCATAGTATCCTGCCTTAACTTTGCGTGTACTGTTTGACAAGTTCAGTCTTGTTTGGCCAGATATTTCATCTTGTATTAAAAGAAAGAATCAGTTTACCTTCTGTAAATCCAGATTTTGTTGTAAACACAACCATGAAATAAAACAGGTTTGTTTAAAGCTGCGAAGACTGATTTGTATAGTTTTTGGCTGTCACTATTCAAGAGGATGAAATTAATAACCACTCCCTTTTCAGTCCCTAAAGCATTTTCTATCCAACAACCTTTTAAGGTAGGTAGCACTGGGTAGCAAATCTGTAGTGCTCTGGTAGTGTTTAAAATACTTGCTCAATCTTGATTAAGCTTCAAAAGCCTTTGGCAAAAATAACAGATGAATGAATGAATGAATAGATGAAATTTCTTAATATATTCACAAGGAATATAAAACAAAATCAACCTACAATTCTAGAGTGTAAGAGCTTTAACTTTTTAAGATCGTTCTTAATTTCCTTCAGTATCAACAGTGGGCATTTAATAGAACTGTCGCTTTCAGTGCATTTCTCAAAAACTGAAATGTAGTTCAAGGTACTCTGCGTATGTTGCAACATATGGTGGAATGGACTGTAAAGAAATAGGAAGCAGGAAGTTAGATTCATTTGGCTGCGATATTGTGATGAACTTCATTTTAGGCACAGAGCATATGCTAAGTTTTAAGCAATTGAATTAGTTCTTAAAATTGCTGAAGATTAAGTATATAAGGAATTATTTGCAGAAATTCAGATGAATGCGTGAACTTCACTTTGTTCTCCAGCACATGATGTTTTTGACATTCTCTTAAGATTATTTTTCCCCCACCTTTTCTGTAGGTGTTCACCTCCCATGGGCCTACTGTCATCATGCCAACCTGGTTCTGTTCTCGAGAATGGTTTTATCACGTAGGAAAATTTGATGAGGGTGGAAAGGTGAGTGAAACTCTTATTCAGATTCATGTGGACCTATTCTGTGTTTCAGACCTTAGGAGTTCTGGTTCCAGTGGTTTTGGTGAGATTTTGGAAAGTATTCCTTTAATTGTGCATTAAAAAGATTTGCTGAAGCTATTTCCTATTTTAGTATTTAAACTACAGCTTCTTATTCTCACTGTATCCTCTAAATGCAGCTATGCACTGTGTTTGTGTACATACATATACATTATGTGTGTGTATGAGGATATACAAGTGTTATTCTTTGTTCTGCCAGTAAAAGTTTAAGCACTGGCGGAGAAGTGTTCAGAATGCTGAAAAGATTTGCCCTCAATTTTGGGGCAGGTGAGTGGCAGAACTGGAGCTTGTTCTCCAGTCCAATCTACATTCACTGACCTATGCTCTTTGTTTCTTTTTTAGTATCGTTCCTTATAATTACGTTTTCATTCCCTGAAGAATGTTTGACATAACTTTTTGAGCATTCTTAGTAAGCTCAAAAAAGAAAGCAAGCTAAAACACAAGAACAGTAGAACTCAAGCCTAATGATAAAGTTCAAGAGGTTAAGTTAAACAGACCATTAGTCTGCTTTGCTTTTATATTTGGTTTTCTTCCTTTGTTTGGTTTTCTTTTGTGTTTTTATGCCTTTTTAGAAATTTTGTCTAGCTTTATATGTGTAGTTGTGTATTACTCAGATATAATATGTTGAAAATTTTAGTCCTAATGATTTTGCAGCAGCACTGTAGCCCTAAAAATTATCATGACAAGTTCAACTTTTTGTCCTTATTGTGACCTGACATCAAAATTAACTCTGTCTAGTACAGAGGGCATTAAACAGATTACTAACAAGAAGTGCAACTGGTCATAAACAGTGAGGTCAGAGGATACAAAATCATTTAGCACTTAGCACTCTAAGTATTTATATGACTCTTCCATTTGAAAAGAATTTGAGGCAAAGATTTTCTGTTGTTTATAGACCTGTTATGAACTGGTGCCTTCATAAACTAGTAAGGACTCTTAGTGATCTTACCTATGTGTCTATATGTTCTGACCTGACCCATCATCTCACTGTGTCAACTTGATCTCTTTCGTCTCCATTTTTGAGTTACTATTTAGCAGTGTGACCTCTAAGTGTCATATTGCTGCAAATAAACACAGAGAGAGGCCAACAAACGTCCACGTTTCAGCCTTCTCCATCTGCTAAACTATTTGCATGCCAAAAAGCTGCATTTCTCATTTGGATTTAAATCCAAACACCTGTTCTTCATGTTTCAGTGCTTAGTACAAATGGAATATAATTCTTCCATGGAGGAAATTGTGATTTGATGTTTATGTTAATAGTATGGGTAGACTGACAGAATATAAAAATAAAACTATATGTAATCTTAAAAAATTAAAATCTGACATTATCTGGGTAAGAGTCTGAGAAAGCACAGATGCTGATGTTTTCTTGCTTGGTATTGTTTAGGCTGGACAGAGATCAGTATTTGATCTGAAAAAGAATGAAAGTGGTGGAGCCAATGATAAATGAGTCTGTAAAACTATTTGAAAATTCATTCCATTCCCCATGCCTAATAACATTTTTGGTTAGCCTATCATTAAATACCATTTAGAATTTATCACATCCCTTTTGTGTGATGTTCCTATCATCTTTAACCAAATTTATCTGAATTTATTTGGATGAAAGAATTTCTTCTAACCTGCTGTTTTCCAAACCATTAAGTAAATTTCACATTAGAGGCTCCAGGTCTTAAAACTAAGGAAAATGGTTTAAAGCCATGATTTGGATAGGAGCCAAAAGATGGTATGACAGTTTTACAGAGAGAGACTTGAGAGTATACAGGGTAATCCTAAGGAGAAGGTATTCACAGCTATTTAACATAGCATGTGATTGCTCTGCTTGCATACTTCTGGTGACTGCTCTAATGGTAGCTCAAGGAATGTTTTCAACTGTGGTGATTTCTCTTTGAGAGAAGTAATTTCAGTGAGAAGTTCCCTACAAAATCAAAATATGATAGTAATTTAATACAGAAATTGTCTTCATGAATATCCCGAGAGAGAATTCTTCATAAATTACTTCAGTTGTTTTTTCTCTACTTCCACATTTAAAATAGAGAATAGCTGCAGTTTCTTAGTCTTCACTTCCAACAGCTCAGTAGTTTTCCCAGTCAGTACTCCTTGAACAGCAGATATTGCTAGATGATGGCACCTGGCAGAAGAGCATTTGGTTCTGAGGGAAGAGGATTTCCTTCACCAGAGGCCATGTTCTGAATTCACCTTCATGCTACCACCCTTCTCTGTGTTCCTTCCGTAAGTCCAACAGTTCATTCAAGACTGAGGAAATACTGTGGAGCAGCTGTTGCCATAAGTACTTCAATTTTCACTTGACGTCTCTGTTTTGGTGCTGAACAACTTTGAGTTTAATGCTTTTTTCCTGCTTAACCTTAGGTGTTGTAATATGCACCATTTGACCTGTTTTCCAGGCAACTCCACTGTAACAGTAGCATGATTTTTCTTCTTTATCTAATGTCCTAAAGTTTGTAGTGGGAAGGAACTTAGTTAAATGATGATGAAACAAACTCTCACCAAGATCCCATAAGAAGCAGGTTAGTATGGAAACAAGAATTGCTTTCTTTGTGATATGTCCCATACAGCAACTTCAGGCTCCTCTGAGAAATGAAAGAAATTTTGACTTCTTCTATCCAACGCTGCCCTGCTGTTTTTCTGTGGTTATCGGTGCCCTCTGACCTAAAAACCAACTTTTCTCAGCCTGTAGATCTGTAGTGACCAACACCAGCTGCTGCAGATTTCTCACCAGGTGTTAGCAGTTACAGGAGCTGAGGAGCAGTACTGCACACAGGGCAGCTTTTTAATTAAGTCCTTCAAAATTCATAGATAAGTACCTTCATCTTCCAGATTCCCATTCTCTTTTTGTTAGTACTGTAAGCTGGGCCTAAGATACTGCCTACTGATGGTGGAGCTGCAACATTCGAAGCCAGAATTTCTTGTTGTCTTGATAGCTGGCTTGCAGCTCCCTATGAAGTACGTGTGTTGAGGATGTTGCCCTTAATGCACAGTTCTGTGCACAGGAGTGGGAAATGCAAGGCGAGGGAGGAGGCAAGAGATGAATCATGGAATATTTAGTTTTGTCCCCGAACAAGGAGTTGCTTTAGTTCAGGTTTGGGTCTGCTTGACATCCTGTACAAAATTAGTCCCTGCATGCATCCAGCCGAGTTGTTAGCGCAGTCAAGTGAAACCTGTCCAAAATACTGGGTAAATACACATCTTTCACTTGCTTAGAGGCAACATATTAAAGTGAACTGTTAATTTGAATGTGGCTGGTGTGTGGTGGTTAGAACAGAGCAGGTGCAAACTGCTTTTCCTCCTAGGAATCTTAATCTGCAGCTGATAGGCTGAGGCCATCCCTTAGTGCAACAGCACGTATGGTTGGATTTTGCCTATAATGTGGAAAATTCCATTTGTACTCCAGTAACATATAAACTGTGCAATATAATTATATTAATGCTGAAAACTATTTATGTGGTAGGTTATTGCTGATATCCTAGATTGATACTTTTAGCTATGGGTATTAATTTTCCAAAAATATGCTGAAGTATCCCTTTAGCAGTTAAAGCAGCCTTTTCTTTGAAAGTTGCATTGTTTGACAAAGGTTCCTGGTGTTTAAAATGCCATCTGGATCCAATAATGCCTCTCAACTGGGAAGAAACTCTTGTACTGCACCAAACTTTACATGCTCAAGAGCTGTAGGAAGTCCCATCCCTGCAGGATCTGTAACACGGTCAACATCTTTCCTCCCCTGAAAGATGTACGTCAGTGCTGCTCCTTTGTAATGTGAGAGGCCACTGCTGAGCAATACAAGGCACCTGCTTGTTCCTGGCAGTGAGCATACTTTATTTCATAGTATTTCTGCTAGTTAAAGCAAAAGAGCTCTCCAGAACCAAACAGCGTTGTGAAAGATCCTTTTGCTTCTTCAGTAATTCTCTTCTTTAATGTACCTATTAATATTAAGTTGAATGATGTAAACCATATCCAAAAGCAAAACGAGCAGAGATGTGCCTTGTCAGTCTCAGTCTGTTGCCTGACTGCAAAGAAATACTTCAAAGAATAATTTTAAAACTTTGCTGCTAATTCTCAGTAATTCCATTAAAGTTCAGAATAAGAAAATGTTAGTAAGTCCTGTAAGATAAATGGAAAGAGTATGAGTTTGCTTTTTTTCTGATGCCATGATTGCTGTTTGTTGCTCTGGTCTCCCTCAGATTACTTTTGTGACTTTCAACTCAGTTCGTATAAATCATAAATTATATGAAGTTCTCTAAACATTTTCATCTGTATCTGAGCTCTTAAGCTAGAAATTAAGTGAATATTCACAAAGAGAAACATGAACTTTTACTGACAAGCTGCCCTTGCCAAGCAATCGGACAGAATGGAACCAATTTTATTTGTGGATCTGGGAGCAGGGTCCAATTCAGTGCCTTAAATCAATCTATTATACAGCGAGGTCTGGAGCTGTGAAGTACAAAGCTTGAATTAGTTATGATTTCTCGTGAGACACATGTGTTCAACTGAGTGTTTTGGATTTGTTTTCTGGGTTTAAAGCCATTCTGCCTTATCCCCTCTCCTCCCCCCTTGACTGCTTTGTCCAGACCCTGTCTGACACCAGCACTCAGTGTGGTGGGTATGAAAAACAGACACTGAACTGTGTTACTGTTGTAACTAGAGGGCCAGAAGAAACCACATAGGCATTTTGTATCCAGAGCTTTAATTTGGAGAATCTCATTTTCTTAATTATGGAAGAAACTCAGAAGCTGTGGTAATGGGTGAAAAAAAAATTCAATTCATTTTTTTTCCCCTTGGATTTTCATTATTTTTTTGTGTGTGTGTTGAAATAAAATATCTACATTTAAGGATTTTGACCCCCTCATTATTCCTACAGAAACAAATCTATTTCTGTCTCTCTTATTCCTTCTCTATAGTTTTCACATTGTTGTGTTGCTTTTCAGCTTTTTATTGACTCTACACTTAATTGGCAAAATTATTCTATCAGAGATTTTGAGCCTGGTAAAGTTATGGGAATGTTTAAACGCTCCACTGGAGGAAAGAAAAAACTGTATTTAAACATAGGAAAAATGATGTTGTAGCCAAACTTCAAATTTTCAAGAAGTTGCTTCACTGCAAAATGTAGACGGATGCTTTTTCACGTTCACTGCAGGGCTGTGTCACTAAAGGTGGGTTTATGCTTTGGTATGTGAGACACACTTAAGTACTATGTGCCATATGATTGTTCTTCTGACACACACTCTCTGGCATGAAGATTTTCTGATTTTGGGTGAAAAATGCTGCATATGATTATGGCATTTCTATTCTTTTGGGAGCCTGAGGGCTCCAGAGTTCTAGGAGGATTCTTCCCTGCAGTTTCAGCACTGTTGCTTGTGGTTCCTTATGAAGAACATGACGTGGCAATAAGTTGCAAGAAAAGATGCTTTACTTTTCAAATGCTGCTTCAGTCCAACCGTTTTTATTTTTACTGAAAGTTCATGTCTGTTATTATGGAGCCTGATTCACCTTTCCTAAGTAGAGACCAGTGTTTGGCAACCAAAGAAAGAAGATTAATTCTATTAAAATGGAAAAAAAGCAACAACCCACTCTTCTGAAGTCACTGCTCCCTTTCAATAAATTACTTGGTTGCTTGGCACTTTTGAGGCTTTGTGAATTGTTAAGCAGCTAGGTTCTCTCTTTTTGGGACTGATCTGCATCAAGCTTTTCCCTGTCAAAATGAGACCATTTATTTTTCTATTTATGTCCTTATGGTCAGATATATTTCATTTTCAAACAGCACTGCTTGCTTTTTAGTAGCTTTGTCTTTTGTACAGATATGCTTACTTAGTGAAGCATTCGGTAAGTTCCTGGAGATATACAGAAATAATTTCATTTATCAGAAATATATAAAATATATACTTAGATGCAACTAGTCACTTGGTGGTATGAAAGAACTGCTTCTCTTCCAGGGTGTTCCAGAAGACTTGTTGTTTTTTTATAAACATCTCCAGAAGGGAGGTGAAGTCCTTCGAGTGAACCATTGCCTTCTGCTGTACCGTTACCATCCACAGGCTGCAACTCATTCTGTCCTGGAGTAAGTTGAGGCTTGTTTTGTTGAACTTAAAAATCAGCTTCATCTTGGATGATTAGCAGTACAAATGCTTTGTTAAAAACAAACAAGAAAGCCGAGGAGCAATGAAATCTTAATATGCTGATAACATCCTGTATTTACCAATGGAAGGATAGTTTTCCTGTTTTGTTTTGTTATAACCTGTTTTTGAGGAACATAATATAATGCTGACATTGAAATTACGAATAGAAACCTTTGGTGCTGATGCTGATGCCCATGGAGTGAAGGCATTTTAACATTGGACAAATATGCCAAGAAATAGTTCAGTCTTTGCAACTATTCTTGAAATAATTTCACAACAGGTACAGTGAGAGCAATCGGGAGTTTTGGTGACTGCATTACAGCAGTGCTTTCTCAGCTTCCAGTTCCCATCCACTCAGCTGAGGCAGTTCAGTATTTTATCACTTCAGATTCTGCAAGTTGCCCGAATAACCTCTCTGCTTATTTCAAGTATTTACATTTTTTGCCCTTAAGGCAATTGGAAATACTGAATGTGATCGTGTTTCTCATCTACTGAACATGGCAGTGAAGCCATAACTTCTTCAGTGCTTTGCAGATTATTGCAAAAAAATATATATATATATAAAAAATAAAAATTGCATTACACTAAAATTACTAATAAGATTTTTCTTTTTATACTTCTACCGTATGAGCTGTAATGTAAGACACATATATATATTTTTTATTTTAAAGCTTAATTTCAAAAAGAACTGTCTTGGTTTTAAGGAAGCATACAGAAACCTATTGTAATACTAACAAAAATCTTCCTTAGGAAAGTGAATAAAAACCAGATCTTTGATCTGAGAACTTGCAGCACTTAGGAAAACTATTTTCATATTTTAAAAAGTCTAAAACTTCTAAATCAGATAACAAGGTTTGAAAAATACTTCTGAGGATGTGTAGGAGTAATCTTCTCAGGTGCTTTCTTGTAAGCTGTCTGCTGCTTTTACAGTGCTGTTCTACCCTTCAAGATGAAGCTAAACTGTCGATTGCTGATTCTTTGAAGTGCTTTATCTATCAAAAGTGCTCTTTCTGATCAGAAGTAATGCAAGTTGAGCCAAAGTCATGACAAAAGAAGTGTTTCTCTTACATTTTGACACTGGTGAAATGTTTGAGTTTTGTTATCCTTTAAGAGTCTCACAACCAAACTACAGTGGTAATTACATAAACTGTTTTCTTACTGATGAATGACTTACACTCTTCAGTCCTGTTTATGGCTTTGTAGCACTGACTAGTAAAACATTTGTATGCATTTTAGTTGTATATCACAATATTATTACTGTAAATACTCAAAGAGTCATTCCAAACAAATGGAAGATACTCTTTGGATTTTGTAAACAAACACAAGGTTTTTTTTTTTTAATTGGCATTTGGTTTTTCCTTTTGTGTGCATGATGGCTTTGGCAGCTAGTTACAAACTTTTCAGCCATGCATCGTGGGATGTTGGGACTCTTGGAAGACTATTGCTTCTATCTGTGGGAAAGCATCTTATTCTTGGAAATGAGTTTGTTCTGAATTTACTGCAAGCTGTTGCTTATTCAGATCTACAAGGTTGTGTGGCACAAGCACCCTGAATTACAACACACTGTGAGAATGTGGAAACACTGTAAGCTGTTTCAGATGTGCAGCTTGCATGTCCAAATTGGCGCCTCGCTTGTCTCATTCTCAGAAGGCGGGCTAGCCATTCTTCCTGCTGGCTTTTTGTTGGTAGTATTGTTAACAGTATTTTGTGCAAACTTACAAATATGAACTTGTGTAAGATCTCTTCATACTGGCATGCTCCCCTGCTTATTGCCTAAGTTGTAAAGGACTAGCCAGCATTTGTTCCTGAATGCTACAGTGTGCGTTGCTGTGGGACTCGCCACAAAGGTTTAGCACTGAAATGGGGTCTTCCCTAATTTGCCCTTTTTACACTTTCAATTTGTAACACATGTTCAGCCTTTTCCCGCAGCCTTTGTCTTGTTGGGGTGTTTAACTTGAGCAGTTTTCTGACACTTTGCCTTTGTCATTGGCCGTTGCACTCTCAGCTTTAGCCTAAGCCTGGATATGGGAGTGATAAACCAGGAAACAGATTAATATATTGAGAGAAAAGTGGCACTTACAGGAAAGTTGAGAGTTTTAATGGTTTATGTCTGGTTTCAGAGTTGGGAGCTAGTTAATAGAGTTTGTTTATACAAAGGTGCTCATACAGTCCTTCAGCAAAGACAGCGGGCATTCGCATCCTATTGTGAACTGATTTCAGTTTATACAAATGTCTTTCATTACTATTCAGTGAAAATGCATGATCCCACATATTCAAACTTGTTAAAGTGTATATATAAAGCTATTCTGGCAAGCAAAATTTTGTTTAGTTTAGTATGCATAATGGTAAACAATGCTCTTTAAGTCCTTTGCTATGATTGGGATCTTTCTGGAACAGATTTCTAAAGGTGAAGGTATCTGTGAAGCAGGAAGAAAAACTTATTTGCATTCTCCCTGGAGGTATCAGACTAAAATATTAAATGCTGTGTGTGTGTGACAGAATCTGAACCAAGTGCAGGCTGTATTTAGATTTCATTAGATGCATACAAAAATATAAGCTCTTTCATTGAAATCTCATCTAAAGTATATGGCAAATACCTGCTGAATGTGGATGAATGATACAAGATTTGGGAAACTTCAGCCTACTACTACTACAAAAAAATCCCACACTGTGTCTCTTGGATCTAAATCATATTATCTCAGTTTACAGCTTGTATCCTAGGGGTGTGTGTATTTTGTGCTACAGGGCTCTGTTGCACTGATCTGACAGAATATCAGAGTTGGCATTATAGTGAGAAGTACTACGGTAAGTCTGGTGTGTAATAAAAACATCATAAAATTCATAGATCTTTATCTTGCTAAAGGGGAGAAAAATGAACTGTATATTAAACAATGTACTGCATTGCAAGACAAAAGTCAGTATGGTAAAATATGAGCAATAAAACACTGTACTTGTCTTTAAGTGGTGTTGCACGTGAAGACAGACAGTTGGGGCAGGTAGGAAATCTTTGTAGCAATTTACAAATTTTTGGTCAAGAGAAATTTAAGATATGCAGAAAACAGGGTTGGATTCCCACTGAGATTTGGGCGATTCTCTTTTATACAGAAAATTTGAAGCATGCTTAAATAACTTGTACTAATTTCACGTGCTGTGTGCTCAGAACAAATGTAATATTGTACAGGCTTATTCTGCAGAAATATCCCGTATTACGTAATCTACTAAAACCATTGGTGTCAGGCACTAGAAGCTTCCAGTGTCATCTAAGCAAAAGAACAGGCCCTTAGTTTGAACACGCTTTCAGTTCTTTTAGAGGTACTTGAGGCATGGTCTCATATCGCTGATGAGCATTGGAATGGCTGCTTAATTTCTTGCAAAAACATGTATCCAGAAATAAGTAGGAGCGGATACAGTCGTAACGTTTTCCTGCACGACGGTAGTAAAGATGAGGTCAACTGCATTTTTATCATCTGTCTGCATTTGGCACTTCAATTAAACATGAAAACTAATGACCTCATTAGATTCTTGAAAAGCGAATGGCATTAACATTGATAGTCTCTGTCTTTCTTAATAAGCCTTTCATGAAAAATAGGCCACAATGCAAACCATGCCTCAGTTAATGACCCACGACCTGAAAATGAACTCAGACATTAATAGAACCTATTAACAGTGTAAATGTAATAACTCAGTAGTACGATATAGTGCAGCAATTAATAAGTTCAGATAAAGTTCAACAGAACAACGGTGACCAAAAAAATCAGTTTATTCACCAGTATGGTCAGGGTTCAAATAGGATTCATTTCTGAATTTCCTGTGGATTGCAAGGGCTGTGAATTCTGCATGCTAGAATGTAAAAAAGCTATCTGGAAGGAGTCTGTTCTTCCAGCTCTCGCTGTGATTAAAAAGTTCTCTGTTCTTCCATCTCTGGATTATCTATCAGGTGAGATTCACCTCATAGAAAATTCTATTATCCTGCCATGAATAAAAAAAACACTGGCAGAGGCTATTCACTTGAATAGCTGTTCTTCCTGTCTGGTGTCACCTGAGTAGCATGTGGGACCTCATGTAGAGGGAAGGTCAGGTTTATAGTGTTACTGTGGATGATAATCAATGCCTACAGTTTCAATACTGCTTTAGGATACTGGGCTTGTATTTTTACATTTCACAAGTACTTGTACATCTGTCTTTGCTCTGTTGATTCACTTATGTAACCTCACTGGGGGGAAGGAGGGGAGAGGGAGTCAAACGTTATGGTGAGGTTTAACAGAGCTCAGACATTAAATCATATAGCTTTTATTGTCACATTATCTTTCATTTCAAAATAGGAATGGAGCAGATGTTTCTTGACTCCTGTATTCAGTCAGTAGGTCAGCACACACTTTAACAGAGCTCCATTGTTACATTACTAGGGTGGATGGGATGGCAATAATTGCAGGGGACTGAGGAGCACACTTCTCACCCGCTGAATGAATACCCTCATGTCAATCCTGCAGAATTTTGGCTCCTCTTCTTCTTTCCAGACTGCATAGCTTAGGAGGATTGAGTGGGCATACCAAATGAGAACGATTTTCCAAGTTAAAAAATGTATGTCTGACATTTGTGAATGACAGGAAAATGAAAGAAATGAGGAAAAAATTGTGTACTTCAAGGATTTTGATTAAAGAGGTGTGTTACAATGGATGCCAGCTTCTGTAATCAGAAGAGTTTGTGTCCCACCTTCTGACTGAGGAAAATGCTGTTGATTGAGAAGAGGCTGGGAAATGGTACTAAAGGCTACTACCAAAGTGTTTGCCTTTAATCCTATCTGAGGTGGTAGGTGAAAGCAGCTTTGTTTTGGGATGATGTAGAATAATGATAGCTTCTAGGTTTTGCTTATGGCTATTTGAATATGTAATAACATGAAATCTGAAAGTAGCTGTGAGAATCATCTGTGAGAAGCGGTTTGTACAACTCCTAGATTGTTTCAGGCATTTTCTTTAAGCGTGCTTTGCACGTTGCTACAGTTCCCGTCTGTTGCACCTGCACTGGCTCTTAAATGATGGGAAAATGGCATTCCCTTATCCCTCAAGGCAGGAATCCCAGTTATCTATTCTGGAAACATCCAAAAATGTGGCAAATTAGGTGAACCAGAAACCAAAAGGGTGTAACTGAAACTCTCCGTTTTGACACACCAGCAGCTACTTTTTGCTTCAACACGTGAGAGATATTGTTCATAAAGAGCATGTTTTCACAAAGATTAAGTCTGTAGTTGTTGCTGTAATTAAAGCTCAAAAACAAATGCCTCCCCTTGACTCCATATCTGTATGACCATCTGGGCTCACACTGCTGAATGATTTTCAGGGTTGTAACTCCAGATTGCTAAGTGTTGATATATCTTAACTTTTTCATTAAAAAGGGTGCATACGATATGGGAATCAATTTAAAAACAACAACAAAGTGAAATTTTCACTTTGAGCTTATAGTAAATATAGTAGTTCATCATAAGAACGTCTCATAGTGATGCTAGAAGAAATTCATAATTGCTGTATATATTGGCTTCTCTTACGAAGTCCAAAATTCTCATTCAAGAAAAACATTTGTTGGGGTTTAAATAAAGCTGTCTAACAATAGTGTTGTGTTCAAACTGAAGTCTAGTTGATGTTGAGTTTCACATTCTTAGTGCAGTTTGCTTACTCCCCACTCTTGCGTTACTCAGTGTAACGCTCATATACAAGATAGGGTCAGCAGGTCTGCTTCAGCCTGATGATTTTTGAGTGCTCGTTAGCTGGAATGTGAGGAGTTGCTGAGAGTCAGTGCACAGAAATATCTAATTCTAGGCTTCTCCCCAACAACTCTGCCATTCTTGCTGCTTGCTGTAGAGCCTCTGAAAATGCAGTTGTTAGTCTCTTCTTGGTCAATGATGCCTAATCTTTTTTTTTTTTTTTTTTTAAGTGAATTAATTTCAGTTATTTTTCCTAGCTTTTAGCCATCTAGCAGTGAGTAGATTGAAAGCCTTGCAGGATTCCTTCTGATCCTGGCTCTACTGCTGGTGACCCTGTGCCCTGACTAGCTTCTCCATATCAGCTCTATCTTCAGGAGGCTTGGTCCAGAACTGGAGGTTTGCTGATAATTCCTCTTTCACCCTTGGAAGGCTGCCTATTTTTTCCTCCCCTTCCTTGACTTTGTTAAAACTCAAGAAGGAAAGAAACTTGACTGTGCTGCTCAAGTCAGTAGGACATATTCTGAAGTACCTCTGGAAAATAATGCACTGTTATTCTTCTGAAGTCACATTTCAAAGTGAAATCAGTTTTCAAACCTTTCCATTTACGTGTAAAGCCACAATCTTCCTTTTTAGAAACTCGCAGAAGCTCTAGAATTTCCAGTAACACGATTCTGGAAAAATACTTGACCTTCATAGTTCTTTCCCTTAACTTTCCTTCTGGGAATATAATATGCTGTAATGAACATGGAAAAATGGAAGTGTCAGAGGATGCCAGCAGCAGCTAAAGCTTTGCAGCAGGAATGCAGCTTGTGGTTGCATTAGAAGAGATTTGCAATCAAATCCAAGATTTTTTTTCCGTTAGTTGAAGTGCTGGTGCACGGCCTCAGTCTTCAAAACTTTATATGGAGTGGCTAATTCTTTGTGGGCACGTTTATTTGTGTGAGAAGTTCTTTCCAAGTTATCGCACCACAATCAATGATGAAGTGCTAAGCAGCCATATAAGGATTTGGCTGTGCTTGGGATCTCCTGCAGAAGTGAGACAGGCTCTCAGGAGCTGGCTGATAATCACAGAAAGAATCCATGTGCCTGTGTGCTATGAGGGCTGCGGAGGAGTGGCACAAATGAAAACAAAATTTGCATTGTTAAGATGTAAGAAAAGCTTGCTAACAAACTTTTGGTAGAAATTGTTATGTAATAAATTTAATAGCCTCAAATTTCATACTTGTGTATATTTGTGCCTCTGAGGTATGCTTCATTAAAGTCATTTGGAACGACAAAATAGTATCCGGTGCAGCCTTTATGGAAATTGATAATCCATAACAAAAAGAAATTGAAAATGTTTCATAAAATTAAGATGTGACATAATGCCAGATCATCATAAATCTGTGTGTGGCATGTGTAGGGTTCTGTAAGAGAATCACAGTGGATGCATACAGGACTGCGGATAGTCAGAAGAGAGCAGCCTGATTCATTGATGAGAATGGCTCAGAACTGCTCCTCTTCCTGACTGCCGGCCTGCGCAGTTTGGATTCTTACTATCAAGGAAATTGTGAATAGTTTTTGATTTCTATATGGCAAGTTGCGCTTAAAACCAGGAATCAGGCCTGGCCAGGTAGACAGCTGAGGTTGAAACTTATTGCAGCTGCCCTGTGATAACCTGCGCTGACCTGTTAATTAGAAGCTTTATTTAAAGGAAAAGGAACAACATATTCTTGGAAAATGCATAAATTCCATATGAACTTAATAATGTCAGAAAATCATGGAGCTTTAAATTGTGTTGAAGGTGTACTGGTAGGAAAAATATGTATTTCCAAAGACAAGGAGACAACTCTGTTAGTGTTTAATTTCAGAGAATGACTATTCATAAATGCATGATTTAGTCCTGAATGTTTTTTTTAAAGCAGCGTACATTTTGAGTCACAAGGTCTATTAAAGCTGTAGAATGATTGGTAACAATTGTTCTAAACTGTATTGTGTTCTGGAGTTATAGTCAAGTGGAAAAGCCCATTTGAAGAAATGTTTTCAGCAAGGATAAGAAACTAGATGCCTTTTGGAATTTCTGACAGAATTACTTTTCAACACAGTGTCTTGTTCAAGAGATGTTCATTAGATTTGTCTGTCAAGCCATAAATTAAGGAAATCGGTGTATCGTATCTGGAGCAGTTTGTAAGTATCAGATAGGTTCCTGGTTAATGAATACGATGTGAACTCTGAACATTAAACAGATGTTCTTGAGAGCAGGTGGTTTCTTTAAACCATTGTAAATTATGTAGTCTTAAATATTACGTTATATGGTGGGAATAGATTTTTTTTTAATACATAAATGTTTGAAAGTGATAGGAGGTGTGCACAAAATGAAAGAATAATGTCACAGTTGTGAGACTGAATTAATTCAGTCAGTTAGGACGTACAGGATACGAATGTAATCCTTGCCTTGAAGTTGTCCTCTCTTGCTGAGATTGTATGTTGAACCTTTTGAAGATCCCAGCCAGCCATCAGCATTTAAGGATATTACGTGTTCCCTTCTTACTCGTTGTACAGACACACGGTTCATCATTTGATATTCATCTCACTGCTGTTTACCTCAACCACTTGGCTTAAGTCATACTGTGAAATGTATTACAAATCTGAAGACCTGAAGTGTAATTTGACCCAGGCATGTGCCAGCTTGGTCGTTTCTAAAGTATATTCTAAGGTATCTCACAAGGCATAGCACTTTTTCTTCGAAAGTAAAAGCGATAATAAATTCTATTGCTCTTTATTTCTTAAAAAGGTCATCTTCAAAAGAAGGCATAGCTGGTTATTTGTACTGTTGCTGAATAATACTTGGGAGGCTTCAAAATAAAAGCACTTGGTCTAACCTGTGCGCTATTAGCAAGTGCTGAGTTGTGTGCAAGGGCTGGTAGTTCCATTGCTGTATGCAACTTCTGCAGTTCATTGATTATTTGTTGTTTTACCATTGTCTACTGATCCTGAGCTTTGAAAACTGACTTTTTGAAGACTTGAGCTGAGTGCAACAGTGTTTGGACTTTACATGCAGCATTGGGCTGCCTATTTGGCTAGACTGGAGTAGTGAATTTGTGAGATTGAAAGCTTGGATTGACAAAGAAGAATAAATGTACAGGCAAGTGGAGCATGAAGAATTGGGATTAGGAGATAATTTGCCTGTATGTACTGCAGGTTATAGGGCAGTTCATCTGGTGTCTGGCAGTGGGCAAACAGCATGTTGATGGGCAGTTGGAATTGTTGGTATTGAATTTGATTACCATGTTAAAGTTCTTGAAAATAACAGCTATGACTTCTGATCTTAATGACTTTTGTCTAAGGGCTTCCACAGAATTTCCTTTTTTCTGCCAGCAGTTAGATGTGGCCCTGGGAAATTGCTGCCATTTTTGTATTCTGTGTGAATTGTTTTGATCAGGTTTATGTGGGTGTGTATATGTAAAATAATATATTTCTTTCTAATTCTTTAGGGAAACCATCTGGAATCACCGAGTCAAGTTTCTTGAGGATAGAGTCCTGAGCTCCTGGACGTCATTCACTATTTGGAATGCTGGCAAGCAAGGCAAGAAGCTCTACAGAAGTTTGTCACCAGCTAATCGGGAAAAGGTACATTATTAAGGATGGTAAAACCTGTACAAATGTACTTGTACTTTCGAAATGCTCCATTGCGTTATCTAGAGCATACTGTGTGCAGTTCAGCATAGACATTCTTGTTTCTGCTTGCTGGTGACTAAGCATAGCAGTAGCATAGGCACTCTATCATTGCTTATGGTACTGATGTGTAACTAATCTTTGCAGTAGCCGGGTACACCAGGTGAATGAAGTAACACTTTGCATGGAACGATGTTGAACTACCTTGTCTAGGGTTACTCATACATGTATTTGTTACGTTTGCCCAGTTCCTAGTTGGATACTACGTGGGTCCCTGTCAAAACCTGAGCAGCCTGGTTTGTATTTTGATAAGCAGTGAGGCTGTAACCTCCTTTTGAAAAAGAGGGTGCTGTGGGGGGCCATGCAAGTAGTGCTGTACATTGAAAATGTGGAGGTCACTTACAGTTGGGTGGAGGTTTATCAGAGTTTAAATCCCTCACTTTTATAGAATATTGTTTTGTGGAATATTTTTTTTGTTAGATAAAGGCTTTAGGGCTAATGTCAAATGACTGTTTCTTATAAAAAGCCACAGAACATTGATTTTTATTACCAAATATGTTTTCCTTTATTAGAAATGTGAGTGGGAAGACAAAATGACAAATATGTATACATAAACCTGGTTAATGTAGTTGACCAGAGGCCACACATGGGGGGGTGGAGGGGGAATAAAAGAAGGAATCTGTGTATATCCACAGTTGAAATTAATGAGTAGGAGTGGGAGGCACTCACGCAATAGATGTGCAACCCAAGAATTGAACCTGAATTTCCAGATTAATGTTGCAGTACCATAGTCTGTCATTGATATCATGTGGTAATGGGTGAACTGATGAAATAATATTAAATGCTCTGTCTCCAGTCAGTCCAATTTGCCCTCACTCAAAGAGGGCAGAACAGTCTGTTAGATCTTTTCAGCTATCTTGGTCATGCAGTGCAGTGTGCACCTAACAAAGCACTAGTGAATTTCTCTCATTTACTAACAGCCATTGCAAGTTATTATCTATCAAATAATAAGAATTAGGAAATAAATTCTAAGGGAAGAGATGGTAGCTGAAACTATGCTAATGCTGTGCAAGTAGGAATTTATGAGATGTGATGGGGAAACTGAGTTGTAATGTTGTTGTAGCAGTGTTCCACCATCTTAGGTCTTGGGGTTGTTTGGTTTTTTTTTAATGCCAAGCTTAAATAGGGGTTGACACTAAGACAGAACAGCTCTCTAGCTTTGTGCTACGTTTGCCACCTCATTTTGTAGGTGACTCATTCAGAACTTCACATCCTGTCCAGCAAACACAGTGATAATTTGAAGATGCAGAGAAGATAAAAAGGACAAGAAAAACATTGGGTTTTGTGCTGTTTAGCTGCTGAAGGATCAAAGCTTGCCTCTCCTTCACTGATGAACAACTTTTAATTCTCTGGTGTGCTGGCACAGACAGCGTGGTTCTAATTAACTGGATTTTGATATTCTTTCCAGCTGACCCTCACTTAACATTTGCTTTGGCAGTGTTGCAGGCCGTGACACTGTTTTGTTTCTGTCGATGTTATAGTTACACATACTGTAGTATGCTTCAGTTTGATACTGAAATATTGCATAGAGCATTAACTCGTCAGTTACTGGCTGTGCACCCAGCTGCAGGTGTACGTGCCAAATATGCATGTACTGCTACAATATAGTTGCAGCCTGATCTTAGTGCCTGCTATAGAGTAATCAAATCTTAACCAGTAAGTCCAGCACGTTACCTACAGATACATTCAGATGTTTTCTTAAAGATCAGCAGAAATAAGTAGCTTCAGAAAGTGGCTTATGGTCATCATGAGTGAAATTAGGGGTCTTGCCTTTAGATACCTAACTTGTGATGAAATTATTATTATCTGTAGTGATTAAAACCTGGTTTTACGTTGTTGTTCAGGCTTATTCAAGCTTTTCTAACAGTGAATATCCATCTCAGCTAGAAATAAAGCGTAAAAGATATACTGATGGTTCTTAGTCACTGGCAGAAGGCTGTCTATGCAGTTCAAACATCTCACTTGTACAAATTCTATCTAAAGGATTATGCTGCTGCAGTTTCAACAAACAAATTTATAAAATTTGCAGTATAATTCATAACTTATTATTCTAAACCAATAACAGTAAAAAGAGGCTAGTTAAACTTCATGTTATACTTGTCCCAAAACACCTCAATTTTTTTAGGAATAATCCTCCACTCTTGCACTCTAAAATCCCATAGAAGTAAAGGTGGAAAATAGTTGTTGCTCCATCTTGTCTATCTCTTAAGAACCAGAAGCATGCTTTTCCTGTCTCACTCTTTAAAGGTTATTTTAACAAAAGGTAAGCTTTTAGGTACACTGTTAATAATGAGAATAATAGAGATACAGAATCTAGCTATCAATGAAGAGACCTGGCTGTTGCCTCTACTCCCAGCTGAAGTGTTGCAGTCAGGTCTGGGCCCCCAGCACAAGAAGGGCACAGAGCTGTTGGGGTGGATCCAGAGGAGCCCATGAGGATGCACAGAGAGCTGGAGCACCTCTCCTGTGGAGACAGTCTGAGAGCTGGGGGCGTTTGACCTGGAGGAGAGAAGGCTCCAGGGAGAACTCATGGTGGCCTTGCAGCCCCTAGATGACTCTTTGTTGGAGAGTGTTGTGTCAGGACAAGGAGTGACAGATGTAAAAATGGGAAATTTAGGTCAGATGTGAGGGAGAAGATCTTTATCCAGAGGCCCTGGCACTGCTGCTCAAAGAAGATGAGGGTGCCCCTGCAGGTGCTCAAGGAGGGGAGCAGCCAGTCTGTGGCAGGGGTTGGTGCTGGCCGGGCTAAAGGTCCCTTGCAGCCCAAACCATGCTGTGATTCTATGATCTACAAATAGAATCTATTATTGTACAGTTACCACATTCTACTCTGAAAATCCAGTTTTGAATGTGACCTTTATAAAGCAATGTGATCCTAAAAAGTCTCTAAGACACTCTGCAATGCAAGTCAAATTGCCAAAGCGTGCTGTAGAATTCCACTGTCTAAATTTAGTTTCATATGTCAGTTTAAACTTGTGGTAATTTCACTTTTTCTCTATTTCATGGTTGCTGCATCCTTTTATTGAGATTCAGAATCTCATTAACAGTCATGAGACTGATTTCAGTTGGGATGTGGAATCACAGTGGGGTTTTTTCCCAAATTGGGAATATCTGCTTGAAATGTGGGGCACATCCACTAAAAGAAATAAAAACAACAACATCCATTTCTAGGATTTTTACAGTGTCATAAACAACGCAATTATATTTCTAATGCTGACTTGTTGTTGGTGGAGTGTTTGGGGTGTGGGGAAGAAATGCTGCGTGCCAAGCTGTTTTTCAGAAAACAAAATTTTGGCTATGCTGGGAAGCAGCAGTCTTCATTTGTGCTCAATAGCATGTTATGACTTTAGTCTGTTTGTCTCAGTTAAATTATGACTATATCAAAGGAGAAAAAACACCTAAGCTATATTCTGTCTTTTCCTTTAGACATCTGCATGGTGAAGAGTAAATTAATGCCTTTTTTCCAAAGTGTTCAGGCAAAGATCCAAGGTTCAGAATTTTTACTAAACAGTAACACAAGGAAAAAAATTATTCAACCAGTCAGGTTTTATTTATGAATTAATTACCAGGATCTCAGTATTCTTAGGGAAATTCTGTTTCCTGTCTGCCCCCTTCTTGATTCACACAGTTGACAGTGGTTTAGTATTAGCATTTCTGCAAGACTGAAGTCGAACAGACCTTTTTTTGTTTAAAACACATCCGTCTTGTCTATAATTTGCAGCTGAAGATGGAAACCAAATGTTTTTGGGACACTCCATATGCCTGGAGGGTTTCTGAGCTGTCTTGTCCACTCTTTTATTCTCTGTCAAACTTCAGCTAAAAAGAGAACTTGAGCATTAACATTTTGTGTCATTTCCGATCGCTGAAAATAGTTCAAGTAGTGAACAGAAAAGGAGGGGGAAAGGACAAAATAAGCATCAGCTAATTAGTGGCATGGAAACAGTACTGTGCACATCCAGCCCATGAAACTTCTGTATTCTATCCACTGGCAAAACTGAAAGCTTCAAGAAAGTATTTTGTATGCTCTTTTTCCTAGCTCGTTTACCATTTAAAACCATCCATAGCCATGTACTTGATGCTTCCAAAAGCAAGAAATGCTTAACTTTTGTAGTATGTGAAAGACGATATGAGAGAATGAAGTGGGGAGTGCTCAGAGAAATCAAGGGAAGAATATTGCACCCACCTTTACTGCAGAGCACAAGATAGAAAGCCAGTAAGAGAGCTCACAGAGCAAAGGGAGACAGATGGACTTTAAACCCTTCAGTTTAGTCCAGGTATAAAGCATCCTAAAATGAAGGATCTATTTTACCACTCGTTATTTTGGACCACAGGTAGTATTTCATGCTGAAATACTGCAGGGAGGCTTCTCTGCTGTTTGCAGACACGAAGGTGCATTTTTTTTGAACTGCCATTTTATCAGTATAGATTGTGAGGCATGCGTACCTGAAAAATTCCTGGTAGAACTTTCCTACTTGTGTGTCCTAGAGAAATAAGAGACTTGCAGTGGTTCCCACGGCGTTATGTCTAAATGCAGCTATATTTTGCATGTAGTAAGGGGAATTTTGGACGTTCAATACTTAGAAGCTAATTTTGTGTATTGGATCCTGGCATGAATGTTGTTTTCAGCAAGTTTGGTGTGTATGTGTGTAAAGAGGGAAGATGATGATGTCTTTAATGGAGTAGTGTCTTTAATGGGTGCATGACATGCATATTGGGAATTCAGAGAGAGACGCAGCTTTTGTTGTGGTGTAATGCTAACTGGGTGCAATAAAAGCAACATCCTGATACTGAAGTCAATCAGACTGTGACTGAGAATTGCTTGTTGTCTTTGTGGTTCCTCTTATGGCATGCTGAAGATGTTTCTGCCTCTGTGTGCCCCTTGGTCTGTTTGTCATTACTTGTATGTATTTAAACTTGCATTATAATGCTTTGCTTTGCTTTGTTTTGACATGAATAGCCAAAATTGATTTAACATTTGCAGAGATGTATATTAACGTGCTTCCGAGGCTTTATACAAGTAAGAGTGAAAGAATTATAAATAGTAGAATCAGGAAGGTCAGTAGAAGTTTAAAATGCATGGAGGACTGTGTGAGCAGTGGGAGACAGAGAGAGAATACAATAGAGAAGATTCCTTGGTCTGATAGTCCAAGCCTGTCCTTTCACACTGTGCTGATTAAAAGGAACCAGCCAGAGGCATGCTTTTACCTTCCCCAATTTTTTTCTCCTAGATTTGAGTACATAACTGATCTTCAGAGCCACGTAAATATTCTCTTAAGAAGGGAAAAGCTTTCTCCATTGCCTTTATACCACTGTTAATGTGTGTTACAACCTATAACTATTATAGTAATTATGTAGCTTGTGAATCACGCATAGATAGCTGTCATCTCATTTTTAGTTGAGAAAAACAGCAATATTTTGTTTGTTTTGTACCTGCACAGATTTGTGTGTGTTGTTCAAAACAAAAATGCATAAACACTTGTGTATTTCCTTAAAACTGATGTGTGGCCTGAAGGCACATACATCAGTTTTAAGGAAATATACAAATGTAAGCTTCAATGATGCCGTGTTGTCAGTTGCATTGCAGATGAGTTATTCTGCTGGGAGGAAGGAAAAAAAAACTTTTGAGACTGTTTTGTAGCTTTTATAGTTCATAATTTCCTCCCCAGAAGCTCCTGTACGGGTCGATGAACTTCATAGGAGATGCAAGATGGGAGCCTGTTAGTGCAAGAGAGCAATAGGCAACATGGGTAAGCCTAACAGCTTAACGTAAATATCTCAAGTAAGCCTGATGCCTTGAGTCCCCCTTCTTGAATAAACAACTGTGTGCAAGTCCTGAATTTGTCTCCAGACAGATTTTCTTTAATTGGAAAATAGTGTGTGGCAGAAAAATTGTTGACTTACATTTTGGCCACCCACGTGGTGTACATTCTGTCAGAAGATTTGCCCATTGGAGTCTGGCCTCTTTTCTAATACTGCAGATATCAGATCTAAGGTGGCTGAATCCACTGAAAATTAGATGTGCAGATACTTACCAGCAGAAATCTTGAATGAAGTTTGCTATGCTCAATTCTTGCTCATCTACAGCCCACACCTTCTGTTTTTCAGTTACAGTAAGCTATAATGATGGCTGGGGAAAGCAGAGTTGGGGATGTATTAATTTGTCCAAGCACAGAGACAAAAGAGAACCTAGGGAAGGTGCTGGTTCTTTGTGCTTGGAGTTGCTTGCAATTAGGGCTGCCTAACCCAGCCTGCATCAGCCACAGAGACTTTGTACAGTGTCTGTTAGCTTCCTAGTACTTCCCTGCACTCCCTTTCCAGTTCCATTGTAAAGTCTGAAGCGTGGGCTGTGTCCTTAGTGTGACCCCTGCATCAGGAGCACCCAGAGCTGAAGTCTGGATCTACTGGCCTGAAACATGATTCAGCTCCTCCTTCAGCTCCAAAGTGAAAATTTAATGTTTCCTTAACGTTCTTTTCTTTGTTGGTGAACCAATAAAGGATGCAAAAGTGCAGCATTAGGACACTAATGCTGTTGCATCAGTGTCCCCTATTGTGCAAACAGAAGGAGGTCATTTTAGGTAAAATAAAATATCCTATGCAAAGGAGGAAAATGGAGGGGATGGAGGTAGGTACTGAAAGCCAGCCAGCCTTCTGCAGCTTCTCTAACTTAGTAAATTAATATGCAGCTGTTTGGCTGTTCAAATTTTCCCAATGTTAAGTGTTGTTAATCAATTTTTAATGCAACGATTAAAAAGATAGGAAAGCTGCTACCCAGCTTTCACCAGAATAATTGATTTCTGCAAGACCTTAAATACCTTCACCATTCTGCTTCAGTGTAAAAGCTCTGTGCAGATGATACAGATAGATCCAAAGGAAATCAGAGGAAAACATAGCTACATTTGTTTTTAAAAGTCTTACAAAATGTTACTGACATTTGGTTTAATGGTTCCAGAATGAGGCCACTGTGTATTTTGGATTGCAGGCATTTACTATGCCTGTGTATTTGTGGGGAATACAGATTAAAAAAATGTGAAATATTTGGCAACAAGGGCTATAAATAATGCTTCCATAACTACATTAAGAATAACAAAAACACAGCAGTAAATGTATTTAAACAACAAAATCTGCTGGTGTTTTCAGTTGAAAAATAGGGATAAAATCTAGAGATAAACAGCAGACCTGGGGTGTTATGGCTGAGAACTGAAGCTGGTATTACCAGAGCATCCATAGCAATAGTGCAGCACTGTGTCTTGTATCGTGCAGTAGGTGATGTGCTTGGACTGGACTGGCAGGTATGTATGATCAAATCTGAAGTGTTTGGTGGAAGTCCTGCAATGAGGAGGCCAGCCTCTGTCTTTACTCAGCATGTCACTGAGGATGTGAGGTTAATGGTCTCATGTGTTTTTTCTTACACAGCATCTGTTTTCATGACCAGGAAAACACAGTCTGCTCATAGCCATCTCCAAACATTGCCTATCTCACTAAGATGTACATGGAAGTGATTTAATATGTTTTAATCTCCATGAAGACCATGGCGACCTAGTGAAATACCTGCTGATAGCAAAGAATGGCAGTGAACCATTCTGCTTCCTTTTCTCCAGGTAACTGCGTTTTGCGATGTTGATGAAAAGAAAATAGCAAAAGGATTCTACACTTATGAAGAATCTGAGGTTAGTTCCTTTTGCATTCATTGCTGTGATCTGAAAATGTTCTGAGAAAAGTGATGAAAGAATATAGCACAAATGTTTAATATGATATGGCAGCTCATTTTGGTAGGAGACCATGACTAGTGGTTAGAGGTAAGGAGGCCATGACTGTGTAGGAAGCTAGAGAGCTGGAGATCAATACCACAGAGCCAACTATGGAGCCAGAATCCCTGTCTGAATGAGACCACCTCATCTGTAATGGCGACAGAGGAATTGTCTCTGAATAGTTTTGTTTCAGGTCAGATCAAAACCAGCACAAGGTGTGATTCTTCAGGAATGGGTTTTATAGAGATGCCTCTAGACCTCACAAGAAAGAACAAAGAGGGATGAGTGGGAGGACTTACAGACACAAACTTCTTGCCCTAATGAAGAGGGAAGTAGAAGGAAGAACACGAAGATTTGTGAGATGGTATTTCCACTGTTAATAAATTGTGATGGCAGCAAATCTCTTCCAAAGGGGTCATCTTCCAAGTTGAAGCAGACAGGCAGGAGTACCTCAGTTAACTGAAATCAGCTTAAAAAGACATGTATATTCTGATGGGATAAATTATTGCCTTATTCTGATGGTTTTTCTTTTAGATGAGAGCATTTGGCTAATGATGGACTAAAGTCTAATGTCTGCTAAGTAGAAGAAAATTTCAGTGATGAATTGTAACTTATCTATAGGTTAATTATAGTCATACTGTATCTAAATAAGACTTTAACTGATAGGCTCCTTTCGAGCCTAGAATTGTAGGCACAAACACTTTATTTCACTGAGAAGGAATAATGATATTTAGATAGCAATAAACAAATCACATAGAAAAAGTAGTTTTATTACACTATTAATTTAATGGTAGCAATTAGCTCCAAGATCTGGAGTAATTTCATCCAGATTCATGCCCTCAAACAGTCAGTGACATGACAGCTCTCAGGTTCACTGGGCACTGGGTCAGGTCCTTGGGAGTGCAGTCTGACGCTGTGGCTCAGCTGGTTTAGCTGCAGGGTGGTCTGACCTCAGCCCCGCACTCCCACTGCCTTGTTTATACTGGGTCTAGCAGTCTTGTGGCTAAAGGATGACAATTCAGTTTGCTGATCTGGCAGAGAAGGAACCCTCAAAAGAAGTTTTCCAGCACGTTATCTTGTGAATAAAATTACCCTGAGGTTGCTGTGGGAGGGGTGAGGGAGCATCTCCTCAGATGCAGCTTGTGATTAGACTAGAGTAATTATAAAATCAGACTCTGTACTGGGAGAGCGCTTCCAGCTGCAATCAGAATTGAGGATTTTGACCAGGAACGTGACTTATCACCTCTAGTTAATAGTAATGCTATGGGCATTTCTGCTGCAGATCTGTGCTTATGTCTTGCTAACATGCAGCCATTCTCCCAGATCAGTCATAAATAAGATTATACTACAAACTGTTGTGAATCCTTAGAAGATTCTGCAGCTTGGAGCCCTGTTGAAGTCTAGTTGAGCATAAGCCATTTAACAGCTCTAGCTAAAAGGGAAGGATTCTGCTTTTGTATTTGCTGCTTGCCTTGTGCCTGCTTTGCTCCTTCTCTGATGGCACATTAAGCTGATTCAGCTCACTAAAGGGGTAGAACCAGCTCAAAAGAAAAACAGAAAAATATATATAGTATGTGATGTGATAGGCTGTTATAGCAACCTGCCTTGTAGTTAAATCCAAGAGGAAATCATTTGGGGAAAGGGCTAAAAGGCAGATAACCTGAAGGAGAGGAATGCGAGCTGCTCCTTTCAACAGCAGAAAGCTCTTAATTAAGATCTGTGTAATGTAGCGCATAACTTCATTCAAAGAACAACAATTATGTTGAAAGGTTATGGAAAGAAAGTAATGGGTTCTTGAAATGACTGGGGAAATGGTGAGTGGAGACGTGATCATGTACACTATTTAAAAATAAGGTCTTAAAATTCCCTTCTCCTCTTTTACTGCTTAGTAGCTCCTAAAACTAAAACAAGTGCCTATTTGTGCTTCTTAACTGTTTGACTGCTCTGCTTGCAGGAGAGACCAAAACCAAAAATTCCTATATGTCACTTCAGAGAAGCAACTCCACCTTTCATTATCTGTGTGAAGCAGGTGAGCTCCCTTAGCTGTATGTACAAAATCAGTAATTGCTCCTTATTATTATCAATTTCTATGTAATTGCTTTCCCAGAAGTCTTTACTGTACAGTTGAAGGGCCCTTCTAACAAACTGTGCAGAGTATTTCAGGGTTTTAAAACAGCAGCATTAAGAATTGTAATATTAAGAATGATAAAAATTACAGCCTGGGTAAAGGAGCTTGGATCTGTTCTATATTCTTGCCCACCATTGTATGCACAAATAAGTGCATATCGTTGGTCACCTGCTCTTGTTTATTCCTAAAATATTGCAGCCCTGTGAGTTTCAAAGGCTTTATTTTTTTTTTTTTAATCAGACCTTGAAAACTATTTTGTTTGGCACTGTGAATTCTGACACCATTTCCATGGCTGACAGTGGTAACATAACTAGAAGATAACCAGCAGCAATTGTGCTGCTATATTTAAAATAATAGCACAGCATAGTGGGGTAACACAGAAGATTAAAGCAAAATCGCAACTATGCTGTAATTGTTAATTAAAAAGTCTCTGAAAGTAACTAAAACTTGAAGCTATGTAGAAACATGGATATTTTAAAACTGTTGTAGATTTGTTTAAAGATAAATGAGCTGAATCACATCTCATACAGATCCCTGTTAACTTTGCCCTCCCAACTTTACAGCCAACTCTGAGATCATAACTTAGGTTGTAAAGCCAGACTGAAAGTACCTTAGGGCATTACTGTGTAGTGCTGGTTGATAAAACTGCTGGATCAACTAGTGATATTACAACTAATTTAATTTTTCATACTACACATAATGGTGGGTGGAAGCCCCTAGACAAAACATCTGTGCAACCTGTTACAAAGCACATCTAATTTGTGAAGCCCTTACAATGAGGCTGTTGTACAACATCTTGCCTTAAGACAAGTGATTTCAGTGTATTTTCTGCTATTTGCCACTGAGCGTTTCCTACTTACCAATCCACGAATACTGCAGGCCATAGTCTCTTTCAAGCAGTATTTTTAAATTGTAAATAGCATTTGACCTACTTGAAATACTTTTAGAGCTTGTGAAGTTATTTCTAATGTGTCTTTGGAGCTGCTTACTTTCTGGGAGAACGTAATGAAGCCAACAGCCATTCAGATGGGGCTGCCTCTACAAACCGCAGGCAGGTTATGTCCTTGCCCATCTCACTTTGTGACTGAGACATGCAGGTACTGCTAACGTTGGTGCTATAAGACCTGATGGCAAAAACACCCCAGTGTAGAGGTGAATGAAAGTCAGTATGCAAGGAGTTGCAGCAGTGTTGTACCCTGGGAGAACAAGAGGGGCCAAAGGGACAAGAAAATGATGAGAATAAACTTGCATAATAACGTAGTGGGAGCCCTCAGAGCTTGCCTCTGTGTAAGTTTTAAATGTAGCTGTTAATAATACAAACCTCACCGTACCCCTCTGTCATTATGCCATATTATTGGTGTGATATTCTGAAGATAAGGGATCGGGTTAGAAGGACACAAACGTTTATAATGAAGAGCTGAAACCAAGTATTTGTCTGTAGTGCTGAATATACTGTTATTACCTGAGAAACCTCAGACACAGTGAGACAGACAGACAACGCAGGTATCTGTACCAAAGTGTAGGACGTGTAAAAGCCAGGAGAGAGCAAAGGACTCGGAGGGTGTCGTCCAGCAGAGTTCTGAGTCGCACTCCCAAACCCAGCCTGCTGGACCCTCCTTTCTGCTACCGCTGGGTTTTGCAGCTGATCCTCAGGAAGTTTTACAACCTCTCTTTCAGCCATTGTCATACTTGCTGGATTTAATTACTGTTATGAGTCTCCGCGGAGGCAGTTGGAATCTACAAAATCCCATTCTTAGTACTTGCCAGGTTGTGCCGGGATTGAAATGGCCACGCTTTTCAGTAGTAGTTTTGTCATGGAAAGTAGTCTTCTACCAAAACAAAACAAGCTGATAAATGTCTGTGGTTTAAAATATTCAGGTATCCTGTCTGCAGCAGCTTTCAAACTTCTGGGTCTGACCGCTAAAGGAAATGGTTTCTAAATGGGCTGAGAAGAGCAGAGTGTTGAACTTTCATTCATCTGCGCTGCTATTGTGCGGGCCACAAAATGCCGCGGGTTGGCCTTTGCTGTATTTATAGACGGAATTTGCCTTGCTTTCTGTGCAGCCCACATCTGAAGGAACAGCTAAAAGCAAACCTTCCCAGCTGCTTTGCTTTATTCACCTCTCTCCATTTCCCCTTCCAGCGCGTTTTTCAAACAAAGAAATATGGTAGGATGCATACGCAGATAAATGTTAAGACCGCATCAAATGAAAAATGTTCTGTACTTTCTGATAGCTATTTCTGCCTCTCTGATTCTATTCGCTTGCATACATCAAATGGAACTCTGCAGAAAATGTTGATGTTAGGAGCTAAGTCCCAAGGTGAGGTGAAAGACATGACCACAACAAAACAAAGTTCTTCTGTCCATAGGGTGCTGTGTGGGACCAACAAAATCCAAGTGTTTGAGAGGTTACAAAGTGTCCGTGTTTTCAAACTACTAAGGGTGAGGAGTTTGACCCAGCTCTGTGTTTCAGGTCATGCTGCTAACATAGAAAGATTCCCAGTGAGTGTAAGGATGTTTCTTGTGCAGCCAAACAAATGTGTGGATGCAGCCCATGCAGCCTGGCTGGAGTCCCCTGCTGGAACTGCTTCTGTGTGGTGTGGACTTGTTGAAGTTGATGTAAGGCAGAGCTAGCTGCTGAGACCTTCCACTTACTTAAACAGAAGTCATTAACAAGTTTGTAAACATCCCAGACTTCCGAATTTATTATTTACAAATATAGATTAACCAACATCCTTCTGAAGAAGTGTTCTGGGGCCTTGCTGTGTTTTGTTCTGCCTTTCATGGTCAAGAATTATTTTTAGTAGTGATACAGACAAAACCTGCATGTTTATAAGCAGCTCTAAGAGGGTGATTTTGAAGATTAGATATGTTTATTAAGTGGTGGTCTGCAGGAGTTGACCCTGATGGCCATGTACTTCAAGCACTGTTTGCTTATTTATTTTCTCTGGCAGCTCCTCCCTAGCGCAGTATGACTGTTACCATGTAAAATCATCTTTGAAAAAGCAGTCACGCTATTTGATTTTTGTTGGGTTTGCTTTTAAAATGGCTTCACAAAGGGCTGCAGCTGAAATCCTGTGCTCTGGGTATGTGCATGTTTCAAACCTTTTACCCAGGAGCATAACATCATGGCTTCAGCTCATCACAGTTGTGTACCAGCCTGCAGTACCACTTCACCTAAGGGTCTGCACTGTGTATTTTCTCTTGCTTTGAGGTGAAAGCAAAATGCTTAGAAATCACTTACTGTACCCTGTTTTGGCATGGCTTCCAAGTGCTTGAAATGAAAGGGATTTTCTACTATTCTGCCTCAGTAATTAAACTAGTTCAATTGTGTGAAGTATTCAGGAACTTTACTGTTGACCAGTTATTGTGAAACACTGCCTTGTTCTGTCACCTCAGTCTTGCGGTCTGGGAATGAAAGGTTTGTTTTTTAACTCTTCTGCTTAATTTAGCATCTGGGCTCTTTTATTTTCATTTTTAACCCTTCTTCAGAGCAGGTTGATTTTTTTTTTTTTTTTTTTTTTTTTCCCAGCACCATTTCCTACTCCAAGTCCAAATTTGGGTAATCTTGGGTTTATGAAATCATTAGAGGAGACTAAAGGTCATGATCAGGACCTGCATTTCGAAGTAGAGTTCTCTGTTGATGTGAGTGCTGAGTCTTGCACTTGAACCAGTGGAAGCCTGGGATCTGAACTGGATTGCAAAACCAGGACCCAGTCCTTCAAAGTACTAAATGCTGTCAAGTATTCTTAATATCAGGAGGTAAAAAAAGAACAAAACCATACTCAACATCTTTCACACTCAGGCCCTTATCACTCAGGTAACCAATGGCTTACATAGGTAAAGTGGAGCTCTTGCTTTAAAAATCTGCTGCCATCAGACCTTTTCTGCCCTTCTCCAAGTTATGCATTAGCTGTTATCATTGTTCCTTTTAATTGTTTGTAAACAACAGTGCTCAAGTAGCTTTAGGACGGTGGTGGATTTGTTTTTGTTGAAGTTCTGGATCAGATAATGTTGTCTTTGTATACTTTGGCATTGCAAGTGAAAACTGAGAAACACTGCAGGTAGAAGATACTGGGATAGGAGAAAAGGGAGGGAATCTTTGAGCCTGAGCACAGCATGCTGGTTTGAGCCATGCTTTGAAATATGCAGTGTTTCCTATATAAATTTAAGGAGCAGGCTGGAGGGGACAGGTTGGGTGGTTTTGCAGTTGGGCGGACTGTTGATGGAGATGGCCTTGTGTTCCTTGAATGGAGGGCTTCTAAGAAACACCTATATGCTGTGTGAGCAGTTTTATAAGCATTTCAGCAGATGGGTCCAAGATGAGCTGGAAGCTGAATGTCCTCTATGTAAGTCAGAAAACTTTATTTCTGAACTCAGATACATAGAAAGTCCCAAAGCAATTTTATTGAAGCCAATTATTCCAGCCTAAGTCCAGCATTCCTCCTCCTCCAATTCCAGTTTTGTTTGGGATCTAGTTTTGTAACTTCCTGTCCAAAACACCTGCAGGGTGTTGTGCAACTTCAATACTGCTACTCTGGACCATCCAAAAAAACATAAAGTTTTCTGTAGTATTGTGAGGTTTAATTCATTTCTGTGATATTCCTGAAGTAGAACTCGGTGAGGCCAACACAGAAATGTCAAAAACACTGCTGTTGGCAGGTTTTCTTTTAATGACATCACAGCTGTGTAAGGATCTGTATTGCTGCCTTGAAAAATGACTCATGGAGCAAACCCACCAGGTTCCTGTTAAGGTAATGACAGCTTAAAAGGAAACACCTTCACCTAAGCAAAGTATTTCAGTTGCTTGATGAAAGGTTTGTTTCATCAGCCAAGCTAATCATTGTTCAAAATCTACAAAGTCACTGTTGTATCAAACTCCTTCCCTTGGTCTGTTCTCTGCAAATGCCTACACTGGAAAACAAAATACCCAGAGTTGCAGATGTTTATCTTCAGAGCTCTCAGTGTAGTCCTCATGTTCTACTTCAGTGCATTAGAATGATGAGTTGTCTGACATCCTCCCACAACCCCAAAGATACTAACCTGAATGCTAATTTCTCGACATATGCCTAATTTTTGAACAGATACATTTCTAAGCTTTGTTCTACTTACGTTCAACTCTGCAAATGGGACTTTTCCCCCGTGGCCCAAAGAACCAAATTAGCAAAGCCTGTTACAACCTGAAATACTTTTGTCCAGTTTTTTTGTCTGGTTTTTGTGTTCCCCCCCCCATAGGATTTGACAGGAGGAGCATTTGAAATGAACTTGAACATGCTGAACTTGAAAGAAGGGATGGATTATTATCACTTCAACTAAAGGCAAAGGTAAGGCAGCAACATCAAAGCTGTGTGTTATGTCTGTCTGTATCAGCACGTGCAGGAAGACCAGTGTTAGAAATTCTTAGTAATCTGTGTTTTACTAATCTTTATTCCTAGTAGCCCTTTGTAAGGGAGGTACTAAGAACACCACTATAGAGGTATTTACTCATTTTACTATTGCCCAGCACTGACCTACCAAGCTCATTTTGTTTGTTAAATTGTACTTCTAATTGAAATAATCATCAAATAAGGGCCAGAAGACTACAACAGCACTGTTACCATAGGGAAGTCTTAAAAATGCATCAAGGAAAGCCTATAACCATGCAAGTGTAAAGAGAGGTTTCTGTCGAACCTTAGCTGGGGCCCTCAACCTGTCCCTGCTATTGGCTTCATCTGCTACTGAGAGCAACAGCTGGCACTTCATGGGTGAAGCTCTGCACACAGCCAGTACTGAGGTGAAGTACAGCAAGTACAGCATCCTCTGATTCAGGACTGTTAGAAGCAGGTGTATGTGTAACAGCAGTTGGCAGGCACATGATTACTGCATGCACATATATTTCTCACTGGACCTTCTCTTATTTTTTTGTACTTAGCAGGTCCTGCCACCACAACTTGTATTTTTCATGCAGTAAAACTCTGCAAGAGCAAAATGAAAAATTATGCTACAGTATATAAGGCTCTTAATGACAGCCTAACGGGAGGGGTGACACCTGCAAGAGCCACTGTGCTGCACAGAGCCACGTGGCCAGCTCATTTTTGAACTGAGTACTCATTTGTTTAATAGAGAATACCATGCATAGACCTACACTGAACTTCATGTGCCAGCCCAGGTTGCAAGCTTAGTTAAGAAGTTTTGAATAACATAATATGTCATTTGCAGTATCTTAAAAAAAATCTTGCAGTGACACAAGTGTAGTTTTGGAAATGAACACCTGCACTACACCATAGCAGGTACTCCACAGCTTCTCTTGAAATTTTCCTTTCTTTCAAATTTTCCCAGGTGTGTGTGTGTGCACTGTCCCTGATTGCTGTTCTATCTGAAGAGCGAGGAGAGTTGAATTCACTAGAACCATCAAAAAACAGATGTAGTGACACCATCAGGTTACCTGTGCATCTGCCCTACAACCACAGTAATGTTACTGAAGATAAATGTTGCAATTATTTTGTTTTATGGTCCATAAGGAATAGTCTGAATTCCTGCCAGTTGCTTGAAGTACTGATTTCCCTCTGTAGTGAGGGAAAAATGAAAATGAAACTTCAGTTCCTAAAGCTAGTTTACTACATTTGCTTGAATAACACTTTGGCATTAGCTGAAGTGAAACATAGTTTTTTTTTGTTTGAATATGATGTACGAATGGCATACTTGCCTGCACATATAAACTCTCCTAAAGATGAAGTACCAGTAAGTATAGCCATTCTTACCTCCAGCAAAAAAAATTCTTTGATAAGAGTAATGCAGTCAGTTTTAATATTTAATGTGTAAACAGCAAGCGCAGGTTGAATGACTCCATTCAGAACTGGAGAAGTGTAAATCATTGACACAGGGGAAAAAAAAAACAACTGAAACCCAACAGGTCAGCTGTGCCAGAGCTATGAAGCTATGAAGACAAACTGCCATCTTGTGGCTACAGATAATGAATTAAGAAAAAGACATCATGAATTGCTGCCCTCACAGGGTCGGCATATCTGCACGGTGCCAGAAGACAACTTCTGCCTCTTATTTTGTTCACCAGTGTACTTTGCAGAGATGCTGAGAATCCAACCTGTTGAGATGCCACAGCAGCACCTGAACCAAGAGCTTGGATTTACGAAGCAGAAGCCAGCGCTGCAACTTCACTTTTCTGAACTCTGCAGGAGAGAAAGAGAAAAGAGGTGGAGCAGCACATATTGCAGTCTTACCAACTGCACAGTTGTGTAGGGAATTAAGTAAACTAAACAGAAGAAAATGTAGAAATGTGAAGTTAAAATTTTTAACTACCCACCAGTAAATTTGATTTGTACAGGTTTTTAAAGGAATAATTGTTTATTTATTTCAATAAAATTAATTCATCTTTTCATAATGCTTGGCATTCTCTGCTGCTGTTTGTTCTTGAGCTCCTGTGTGCGAACCAGCTGGCTGCAGGTAGGACATGAGGACAGCTGCAGCAAGTCTTTCAAGTTCACTAAGTGTCACTTTTAGAGCAAACTCTAAGTTCTCTGGCTGGGCTATGAACAGTACTGTAACAGCTCTGTGCTTTTAATGTATTGAGCACTGGCATTTGCTTGCCAGATTGATGCACTGCTAAAGAAACTTTGAAATCTTTCAACTAGGAATGCTCTTTCACAGCAGTGTCTTCTCCTAAAGAAATCCCCTCTTCTACCATTGCTGGGTGATTGCAGAAAGAAAGGACTTTGCTGTGCTCAATTTCATCACCTACAACTGGAATAGTTCCTGTTGTTATCTAGTAAGTTAGTGCTTGAGATGAACGTGCTAAGACCTAACTAGTTTCCTTCTACGTTTGTTACTTATCTTGCTTACTTGAGCCTCACCAGCAGAACAGAACAACCTCTTCCAGATATTAAAGCAGGAAGTTCTGCCTTTCTAGAAATACTGAGTGGATGAGCAACTGCAAACTGTCTGCAGTAAAGTGGAAAAAAAAAAACCTGCTCTATTGTCTTCTTATCAATGTGTTAACTTCCAGAATATATTCTCTGTGTTAGAGTTCTGTGATTTGCACCAACAGCACACCTTATAATTTTGCTGTTAAAATGGAGTGAGATGCTGTCATCCTTTTTTTTTTCTTCCCTAGAAAGGGCAGTCAAACAGTTTTTGAAACATCTGTGCTGTATTATTTCATTCTTGCATTTAGTCTGAGTAAGATGTCACACTGCAACACTGGAATGCTTTCAAGAAATGAAATTGGAAGGACTTGAGAGAATAGTTTTCAGCAACTCCATACACTGTGTAGTCAGCTGTGAGGACATTCCTACATTCATGAACCTGTGAAGGACTACATCTGTTCCACAGAACTTACCAAATGTCCTCAGTTACTGGAACAACTGATCATTGCAATGCTTCTTCCCACAAGCTCAGGAGCACTGCTGTACCTTACCTTGGTTACCAGCTGTGGTTTGGGCACCTTCAGGAGCTCACAGAGGTGGTTGCGTTTCTCTCGTAGCTCTGCTACTTCAGCTTCCCTGCACAAAGAAGCAAGTTCCAATCACTTCAAAAACACAAACCCAATGCTGGCTGTGTAAGTATCCATTTTTTAATTTATCACTATGCTTATGTCTGTTCTTTCAAGTATATTTCCAACTACATGCTCTTGTTACATGGCATTTTTAGAAAATTGTAAGCTTTTTGCACCAATTTAAGCCAGATAAACCATCAATACCCAGCGAGCTCCTGCAGAGATGGCAGTTAGGAGTTCAACTCCTAAGATTATTCTTTTAGACTTTTTTTTATTTTGGAAAGTAATTTTCTTCGTAAAAGCTTCCTGATTAAAAGTTCATTAATTTATTCATTTATAGCTGCTTTTTATTTAGAAAACACCGTATCAAGAATGTAAGTGTCACTGGATTTGGAGAACGTGGTGCCATGCAGGGAGGCATTCTCCTGAACTGAAAACCCAGACCTAATGCTAGTAGAACTTGTTAAAAGTTACAGAAATAACAAAACATTTACAAGATAATTTCCTCAGCAGTGGCTACAAAAAGCCCCGAATGCCAAAAATCCAAACATGACATTCTTTTACAGATACATTTTTTACATCATAACTGAAATGCTGCTCAATCAGCAAATACAGTTTGCTTTTTTTAAGCCTAAATGAGTGATTGGAAAAATTAACTCTTAGCAAGTAAACTGATTCCAAAAACAGAGAAAAAGCAAAAGTACAAATTAGTGAATTAAAAGTAACCTGAATAATATGTATAAAAATATATTTGGACACTTGAGGATTATAGAATCATCAAGGTTGGAAATGACCTTCAGGATTACCTGTCCAACCATCAAGGTGAGCTACCACAACCATCAGTAAACCGTGTCATGGGTCACATTTAACACTGGAAACTTTCCTGTAGCTAAAGAAAATGTTATTATGTATAGTGTAATTGTTTAAACTTGGAATTGTACAATTGTAAGATTAGCTCTCTGTAATTCTAACAAAGAAAATGTTACAAGAATGCATATTCCAGTCATTACTGTCTTCCCCAAATATTTAGTTTGGCTTCCTGCTGTTAGTGCTTATTTTACTGCTGCAATTACTGTGCTTTAGCACTGAGAAGGGCTCTCTATGATACTCAGCAATGACTTCATCTATCTTCCTTTGTAAACAGTTCAAATTAACACGATAAAACAAGTTTTAAGTTCTTCATCTCTTAGTGCAAGGGATATATTGTGACAGGGAATAAAGCAGGCAGGCAGTCACAGCTTCATAGGGGCAAGGTGAAAATAGAGTATTTTCTCTGAACTTTCTGTATGAAGTTCACTGCTTTGTTTTGGTGAGCAGCTCCACACAACTGCTTTTTTCCTGTAGCAGTTTGGTGTGTCCCTCTTCTAAGCTCACAACTATAAGCAGCAGCAACCTAACCCTTATCAACTGCTTCTGTAGCAGCCAAAGTTTAAACTGCTGAGAAAGCCTGCTGTTAATTTGGATTTCCTAAGCCAGCACTGAACCAGCCTAGGCAGAACATTACAGACCAACGTGTAGTCGAGCAAGAAAGCAGAACGACCAGTAATAACCAGTTCTTCCAAACTTGTGACTGCTGTACTGAAATCTCAGGGAAACGTGAAGCAGCCACCCCTGCCAATAGCAGACATTAATTTCTTTTCCCAAATATGTTATTTAAGCTCAAATGCAGAAACAAGCTGGAAATGAAATACAAGTTCAATAATGTAAGCATGCGAACTGCAGCATTAAGGTGTGCTTGTTGTTGAAACACGTTTGTTTCATTTCCAAGAAATATCACTGAAGAAAAAAAATCAGCTAATATAATAATATGTATGACATACGTTCTTGATATTCTTCAAAACACCTTCTCCTATATTACTCTGTGAGGAGCGTGGGGCAGCTGGAGCTCAGATGAAATTTGAGCAAAGACATTTCAGTTAATTGCTGCTTACAGCTTGCACCGATCCTTTCTCTTCCAAAACGCTGCCAGAATTAAATACCTATCACTCAGTGCAGACTATTGGTCAGTGCAGCTTCCTGACCTCCAGTCCTTAAAGGTGTGGATGCCTTTCTTTCAGCTTCAGTGGTACAAAATCTATTTCAGCTGCTATTACTATCTGAGAACCAACTCACCAGTTACTATCGCTGAGGATGGCCATCACCTCGTCTATGATGGCAGGATCAACTACTTCACTGTAGGTTATCAACATTTCATAAACTTGACTGGCTGTTGTTTTCCGTATCTACGGGAAGAGGCAGAGGAAGCTTTAGTAAAGTATCCAGAGTGCTGCAGGGAGAAGGCCAGCAGGCATCCAGCAGGCATTTCCACCCCTATTGGTGCTGGCAGAGGAAGAAGGGATGAGGCATTTCTTTACTTGAAATGTTCACTGAGCAAAAGTCTGCCCCAATGCTGGCTGCTGTAGGACTACAAAGAAATTATGTTCCTCACCCCAGAGGCTGTGTAACATTAGTTTTTAGACCCCAGCATCCAGCAGCAGTTACCCAAGATTTTTTCCCAGAGCACTGTTTAGTTGCAATGTGATGCACATAAAGAAAAAGCAAGCAAGGCTGGTTCCTGAGATAACAGTGCGTGGAAAGGCACTACATGGAAGACTGCAAAACTCTAACAGGAACAAATACTGATCTCTTTCCTTTCCTTTCCTTTCCTTTCCTTTCCTTTCCTTTCCTTTCCTTTCCTTTCCCTTCCCTTCCCTTCCCTTCCCTTTCCCTTTCCCTTTCCCTTTCCCTTTCCCTTTCCTTTTTTTTTTTTGTCAAGGAAGCCTGATGGTAACTAAAGGGAGGCAAAGAAATTATAGGCGTATTTCCTGAGCCGTGGTGCAAATTTAAATCGACTGCTCTATAAAAAGATAAATACATCATGATGTAAACACAAGATGATTTATCTTCAGTTCTTACATTGCCCCTCCTGCAAAGCTCTCCTTCTGTAGCAAGGGAACACAGCATGGAAACGTTTGGACCAAAACTCCAAAGCATCCAGCTTTGCTGAGCACCATATTATTTTGCCCTGAACACCAATGGAATCAGTGCTAAAATAAACAGTGTAGGTTTGTATTGGCCAGAAACCAGGGCCTGCAGTGCCACATTTTTATGTGCCCTTGCAGTTGTATCTGACAGCCCTGCTTCTCCTGCACCACCTGAGGGCTGGAGCTGCCTCTCCTCACCTCCTCACAGCACTCCTGCAGCATTCCCAGATGAAGCCCTGAACACCAGTGCCATTGGAAGCTCATTACTGGGTTCAGCTGCCACAGCAGCCACCAGTCTGGGCTACAACATCTGGTACAATGGACCTCATGTTCTCCCAGAAACTTTACAGTGACAAAAAAAAAAACAACACAAAAACCAACTCTAATGCCTGTGATGTTGTCCCACATACAATCCTCTCCTGCACATCCTCAGAAGCAGTAGCTCATTTTTCAAGCCCTGTTTCAGTTACTTAATCTGCTTCAGGTGGCAGCACAGCAGAGAAGAGACCCTTGAGAAATAAAACCTGGTATTACATCACTGTCTCTTCAAAGAGCATTAAAGCAACATTCTTAATTTTATTTTTAAACTTCATATATATTAAAGTAACGTAATTGACACTATGCAATTTCTTCAAGACTTACCACAGGAAATGGATGGCAAAGGAGGAGAAGTAGCTGAAACAAAACTTTCTCTCTCATATCTCCTTGAAATTGAATCAGGCCACAAAACCTGAAAAGCATAAGAAAATATGGATCTCGAGCAATATTTGTTCATGCTATAACTGTAAAAGTACATTTTGAGGATCAGAATGAAGGTGTACATTAAAAGAAACAACATGGGGAGACAATGAAGCATTGCTGTCCCCAGGAGATCTCAGCTGATATTCTAAGTGCTGTGGGAA